TGAGGCTTTCCACCCTCTCTATAGAGTCAAGGGCAGGTTATCTAAAGAGGTCGGGTTCAGAATTTTGTCAACAGGTGAGGGGATTTGACATCCGTCCTCATTCCAATCCCCTGGTGCGCCCAGAAACAGTTTGTAAGAACAGTGGTTTTACCATGGCCATCCATTACCAATCTGGTGACGCAACCTCCGCTTACGAACTCTCACTCATTCACCTACCCACGCATTGACAACAATCCTCCGTCTGCCTCTTTCCACGCATACACACTCACAAACATCAAGTGTCACAATTCCATCGTCTCTTTTTAAACTCTAGTTTCATTCGCAGATGCGTGTCTTCTCTCATCGCCTGTTTAATCCGCTATCATAAATTGTGCTGTATTTAGCCAGTTGATATGGTACTGAGAACGAGTTTGTTTGCTCACTTTTGTTCTCATGACTACTCAATCGTGAATAATTTCACAATGAGGGTCTAAGCCGACATTAGCACAGGGTCTAGCTTAAGCGCAGCACTTACGCTGTCGCATACGGAAGAGAATTTGGGTCTTTTGAGAGAATGAGATTCGCGGAAGCCAGATGTGATCGACCGCCAAGTGAAACGTCCGAAAGACATCAAACCAGTCAAAATAATTGATAACTGTTTATTGAAGAAATTCGAATCACATCGAAACCCACACTGAACATGGGCATGAAACATTTATCGCATTGTGCCTGTTCCTCCAAATACGACCAATCGAACGCGGTTCACCCGGGACGGGAGCGGTCTTATTCATGCCATTGAAGACCTAGGCTCACTTGAAGAAAAGCGTAAATATCGACTGCTTCGTCGATCTGAAAGAGAATGCATGCGCAATCAGTAAACGTTCTGAACATGAGTGGATGATTTTACGGTAAGCACTATTGATATGCAGATCACACCATCACGTTGGCAATTACAATACCAATATCGATAACACATTCGGGGAAAATGTTTTCAAGAAAATATAAATATCACCACAATATACGGGATAATTATTGCATTGAAGTCATTTATTAAAGCGAAACGGTTTGAGAGACTTAGTCTACCTATGAAACTGTCTTCTCCTTGTAGAGTTAAAATAGCACGCTCGGGCCTTGGGAGCACAGTTATTTTTTCTGGTTAGGAATTACCAACAGAATGCATATGCATCGATTCCCTCCACGATTCGAATCCAGACACAATGGGCTGTAAATCCGATGCGCTAACCCCGTGGGTCATTCGGGCTGGCTCCCAACTGTTTGCTACACGCTAACACTATAGGAAATAGCGCTCAAAGGTCACTGTCAGTGAAAACACCCGGATTTCACTAGACAGTGATCAAGTCCAAAATACAGCCGAACAATAACTGAGGAGGAAACTTGCATTCAATAATTACCAATGAATCTGTTTAACTATCAGCTTGTCCCGGATATCTTTGTCAAACGCTAATCGATGAGAAACACAAACACATGTTCTCACCATTTTCGATGTTGGCTTTCCTGCTCCGTGGCCGGCCTTTGTTTCGATCCGGGCCAGAAGTGGTCGATCGTTCGGATTATTCCGCTCGCCCATAGAGGCTTGCAATGTAGAAATGAACTTGAAAGCGTGCAACGGTACCACGCGATCATCGTGATCAGCCGTGAGGATCATCAGAGCTGGGTATCGTGTTTTTGGATCGTTGGGAACACGGACATTGTGAAGCGGGGAATATCTGTAATTGTGCATGAAAGAATGCGTTGAATGAAATAGGTGGAGGAAATGGTCGTTTTTCTCCGATATGTGCATATCAATCACCCCCCCCCCTCCGGGTCAAACAAGGAAGGTTTCTGAAAGGTGTCAATCAGTTAGAATTTCAGTGCGGTAATTGGTGGGAGAGATGAAATACGGTCTTAAGTAAACGATCAAAACATGAACCAAACTGTAACGCACACATTCGGAATGACGGGATGAATGACCAGTTACACTCAGGTGATCTAGTGACATACGGAACCCAGAAACCACTGGTCGGACAGATGAGGTATATCATGAGCTGTGAACATTTATTAATTCTACTTAATATGCCACCTGCATGTAAAAGTAACTGAGTGCTACCAACCGGCGATCAGTTTGTTCAAAAGTGAGTAAGACCTCGTCCTTATCCAAAGCATTAAAAAAAATTTTTATACACCTTCGTGTTGATGAACAGCAGACGGGGTAAACCCATGGTCACGTAGGCCATTCAGTGAAGGAAACCGGCAACCGAAGCTCCAGGATTTAGAGTGGTGAACCGCATAAGGCCGCGCTAGATTAGGCATGGTATTGAACCGGACGACAGCAAAGCTGTCTACCAGCAAAGTTATGTGATGTCTGGGTTCCAACCTCGGACCATGAGGTCCAAAGCATGCCGGTGACAGCGACTAAACCACTACACCACAACCACCTTCATGGAATGTACTTCAAACTAACCAATGCCTTTCGCGGCGAGGGCGATGGGTAAAGGACCATTACTGTCGGCTCCCTGCCATGTATTTTAGCGTCTTCGGCCAACCAGCCATAGGGTCTTTGGGCCCCATCCCGGAAGGCGAGACACCCACTCTACTTAATTACTCGGTGCCTTTCATCTCTCGTCTCGTTTCACCCATGATGTGATCTTCTCCAAACTGAAATAGCAATTGCAATTAAGGCGCGGTACGATCGACGGCTATAAGGCACATGCAATACGTGTTTTAACCAACGAAGCCTACTAATCGGAATTCGATTTTATGGTGATTTTTTTCACGGATAAATTTCCAAATACATGCCGATTTACATCTAGCTTACTTTTCTACTCACTTTAGTTCATGTGCACCAAAAACGTGAGCATCGATCGTCAAAAATCTTTTATGAATGGATGTCTTCTACTAGCGTAATCAACTTATCCTAGCCGTACAGCCAAACCGATTGAACAATAACATAATGCACACAACCTTTCAACTTTAGTGAACCGTCACACCGTCGTTGCAGATGCTACAATCCTACTTGCGCAACTCGGGCCTTGTATATATGTGAGGCTGCTTCTTGAACTGCACTACCGTCATTACTCATGCAAGTACCCAAGTGGCAGAAGTGATAATTGAGCACCGAAGCCGGGGTAGATGACGTCCAGGTTTGTATCATTACTCTGCACTTTGAAGGTTCCAAGCGCATATTGAATGGAGCAACAGATATTCTCAAGTGCTTTGTGCGCGTTCTTCACACATTTAAAGGGATGAAAAGTGTCATCAGCTTGTCTCATTTTATCGCCGAATGGTTCACTAACTGAAGTTCGCCGACCTCCAGTGCCGCGTATCAGCTGGGATAGTTTTTACTATTCCCAGAAGCAGCTGCTATTTCCATTTCACTAGCTGCCCACCAGTTTTCAACGTTCTTCTGAAGGCTCCAAATGAATTGACGTTGCAGACGCCACTTATTTCTGTTTTGATCGTAGCCAATCGGAATTTGTTGTCTTTTCTCCATTAGAGCCACTGACTCGTGAGATATTCAATGACTTGGACGGAGTTTCAGTTTCATTTTGTACAACCGCACTCGACGGTGATTCCCACACAGTGTCCGGATATCGATCACAAAAATGAATGGGTGGTTTATCTGACATCCGTTTCACGGGACCCACGGATCGTGAGTGAGAACAACAATAAACTACGGACATACTTGAGTAGAACTCGGAAGTCCTCTTCCGTATCCGGATCGCCATAATCACTGACCCAGGCGTGTCCGATAGTGAATTTATGAAACCGAAGCAGATCGCACACTGGCACTTGTGCAATGGCTGCACCAAACAAATCTGGTCGTTGATTGCAACAGGTGCAGACCAACAGACCTCCGTTGCTACCACCTACGATGTACAGTCTGAAACGGAACAGGAGTTGTTGGAAGTTAGACGGGCAGAGGGGGAACTGGAACACATGAATACATGGGGTTTTCAAAATCGTGGGTCCTCGGGTGGCATGGATTATTGATGAGTGGTCATTTGCTTTTATACATTTCGGCTAAAACAAAAACCACGAGAGAACCATGAGATTCTTGCTCTATCAGAGGATGCCGGACAGGGTTTGGATGAACGAGTCCACTTACAAATCAGAGCAGATGAAACGAAACGAAAGCTTTAGAATGATTTATCAGATAACCAGCCAATGTAGTCTATTTCTTATCATAAACAGATGACAATGATTGTTTGTTGCAGTGGGTGGATAGTGCCAGGTATGAAACCACTAACCAGAAGAATGATTGGGACTCCAGAAAGAAAGCCTTGAGTGTGGATATATGCCTGATTAGGCGAAAGCAGAATGGAAAGAAAGCGAATTATGTCTTCAAGTCAAACTCTTGACTGATAAACGCGATAAACTATCCCGCTTTAAACAATGCATTTACTATGGTTTGATGTAACTCGATTGGTAAACCGGAATTGAGTGCTAGCTCCGAAGGAATAAAATTTCCGGGCGAAATAAAGAGCTATTTCTGAGGCCTTTTCGAATGAGAGCTTAAATGGTGAGCTTTTCAGTCGGCAAACTAGAGTTGAAAAACATTTTCCAAAAACACACAAACTGCCCGTCGTAGCATGGGCTGCTATCGTTTGTATTGTAGAAGGCATTATGCTACTCTGTGTAATAAAGATTGGTAGGTCCGTTGGAGGACAATTTAGGATCAAGGGAAACACACACCGGTACCCTTCATCACGTGTGTATCTGAACAAGTGCATTTCACACTGGTTCGGTTCACCATCACGAACCAGATTCAGTATAAGAAATAGCCACGCTCATAGATGGACAATCTATCGAAATCAGAGAGAAAACGCAATGATCTATCCAACTGATACTTACTTATCACGGCAAGTATATTGCCCGGCTATTAGGTATTCCGCTGCAGCCTGGAAGTCATCGAAACAATTCTGTTTCAGTTTCCGCCGACCGGCATCGTGCCAGCGTTTGCCGTATTCACTATTAATCATAGTTAAAATAGAAAAAAGGGGTAACAAAAAAGTAGAATTTGGAAATACGACGATGGAAACAATAATACTGACACCAATAAGAACGAAAAGTAAACAAATGCAAGCTGACACCTTCATAAAAATCGAAAGCATAATTTACACTACTCATGAGTAGAAACATTCGACAATCAAACTTTGAACAGACGGCGGACTACTTACCCACCACCGCGAATATTAGCGATTGCAACGATCCCGCCGAAATTCATCAGTAGAAGCAAACGACTAACGCTGAATGATGGAGTAATGGCGATATCAAATCCACCGTAACCATAGAGTTGGCATGGATAGGTCCCGTCCAATTTGAGTTCCTGGGAAAGGTGTTGGGCAATGTATTTTCGGATAGGTCATGATCGCAAAGAAGAGACAAAACACAAGCTAATAGGACAGCTAGTTTAAAAACCAAACAATTTAAGGCATTAAAATATGGAAAACGTGACAAAAAACAATTTAAACTAAACAACCGCGTTAGGTACGTGAAGTGCATCTTAAGCGTAGCGACAATCAGCGAAGTTCGCTTTACGGTCTTCTCCTGCATTATGTTATGGATGTGCTGATTGTATATTCTAACGTTGCCTACATCATTTAAGTAGTGTGACTGTTTCTTGTAAATCGATATGATTACCGATTTAACTAACGGACAACAAATCACGCGAAGGAAAGTAGCCGGAGAAATGAGAAACTGCAGGAATACATGTTACAAGAGTTAAACTCTTTGTTAGATCTGAGCTCGTTCCGAACGTCAGGTGCTATTGTGAAACGAAGTTCTGTAGGTTGGGGTCGCCAACTATTTTTTTTCATCCGACGACAGGGTTGTGAGTCAACCCACGAGACTCGACCGGATTCCGTGGATAACAGGGCTTAATAGTTCACCATTAGTTCTCAGTCGGTCCACCAAACCAACAGATACGTCCTGGTGATAGAGGATCATCGCATGAAGCAACCAGATGTCATGCGCAGACGGTCGATTGGTTTCCGGACCGCTCGTGGCCACGTCGGAATGAGTCACATATGGATGCAAAAATAACCTACTATTAAAATAGTAAAAGCTTAAGTTCGTATGAAATACCAATTCCCCAGTTGGTACATAATGCAAATGAGCGTGGATGAAATAAACGACGGTAAAATGCAAGCACAGTTCGTGGTGGCAAAGTTGTGACCTACTTTCGGGCCCACGATAAACATCGGGATTCGTGTTTTGTCCTTACTCTCATAGAAAACCTGTCTCACAGTGAAACCGGACAAGTCCACATCGTTCAATTTTGCCTCGCGAAATACCTGGAAGAGCACAGAGCGGACGGAGTCATGCGAGAACACTAGGTTAACATAAGAGTAAGTGATTCACAAAAATAAGGTTATTAACTGAGAGAAACATCACGTGATCATACCTGTAACTAAGTTGCTCGTAGAGGAAGGAGGGAGCAGTTGATGCAAAAGAGCCCCCCCCCAGCCCAAAACAAAACCAAAACTCAAATAATCGGAAGCAGAGTTGCGGTCAAAGGAGATGAACGATGCACGTGGACTGAACACATTATATGGGATTCGGGTATATAACTCATTTCGGAGTTCGCACTTTCAACTATAGAAGTATAATGATTGCATTCGGTCCAATTCATACCTGAATTGTATGGGACGATCCGGATGCGAACGCATCTTGATGGGGAAACAACGTCAAGTCAATTCGCTGGGTTGGACTTCCACGACCGAGACAGATTGTCTGAGAGGCTTCCTCGTACATTGCGTGCATTACGCAAGGTGCACAAGGAGGCTGACTAACCACAACGTAAGACACCCACCCCCGACCATACTCACAAACCTGGTAGATGATGACAAATAATGATAGCAAACAACGTTCAAGCAGGTCGCGGCCAATTGCCCTGCACGATGGTCATTATTGAATAGGAGCGAAAGAGGAATCCCAACATAAAAACTAGATGAAAGCCCAAACCGGTAGGCCAACGGTTCAAACTGCGTCACGCAAATCAGCTTATACAGATCATTAAAATAAAGAGCCCTCTCTCTTCAATATACCTCAATGCCCAACCGAATTGGTTAACACCGTCTGAACCAGGATTGTATGGGTGTGATTCCTACACTTCCTGTTCGCTGCTTTGGAATTTGAGTTTTACTTAAACTACCCTGAGAATTTCACGGATCCAATGATCGACATGAAAGTTGGCTTTTAATCCCCTCACTTTGCTGCGGAAACAACTCCGGCAGTGAGTAGTCAATGAAACATCAAGAGTTGAAACGCGAAATCCTAAATCACGGTGGCTTCCCAGTCGAATGCATGCACAATGTTTTGGGAACGCAGTGCATTTTTGGTGACAATCTAACAAGCGCAATTCAATGGTTAGTGCAAGTGACAGCGAAGGTTTCTAGTTATGGACTGCCTCAGACAGCGTTGTTGATTGTCCAAAATGGCACAATCAGTGAAGCACCGCTCGCCTGTTCACAATCAACTATCGAACGATTCGTTGTTTAATCTGTAATCTGAGGACCAGAGCCAGATAGCGGACAGATTTGTTGGAAGTTGACTCGTAGTAACCTGTGGGACGAACTATAAGCTAAACACGTTACTAATCAACCAGTGAGCAACCGGAATATCGACAGCTCGGTCACTCGAATCAGGTTCATCTTACTTGTCAAACGCTTTTTGTGAGTTGGAACAACTTCAGGGACCAGTTGCCAAAGTAAATCACCGCACTGGGGATGACAACGATCAGAAATAGCAGCTTATGACTTATACGAAACTGGTACTTAATGATTTGTAGTACGGTTGTACACTGAAGACTTTCGAACATGCCTGGTCCGATCGGAGTGTGAAAAGTTTATAACCTGGAAAAACAGGTGAACAACTGATTGAAAGCCAGATATGTTCGCTTAGCTTGGTGAACGAATTTCGCTTTATGGCTGCATAGTTCACTTATTGGATCGCGTATTCATTCGATCATAGATGCATACGTGGACAGACCGGTAAAACGTTCCATTCCTTTCAGCCTCGTCCACACACACACACACACCGCCTCCGATCCAGAGAGATGGGGGGAAAAGTGCGAATAAGTGGCGAATAGTATAAACAACTTTAATGGGTGCGGGCAAAAAAATACATCGTGTGTAAGTAACACTTACCTCAAGTTTTGGCGGTTGTTCAGTCAGATCACATTTGAATACGGTACCCGGGGTTAGGAACGAGGTGAATTGGACAAAGGCCTGAAATCGTGAGAAACATCTAGTTAGGTGAAAAGGGACGAGAGGCCAACAATTGATCAGCCTTTTGAGACAAGCGAGTGAATGGCGACAGTGAAGATAGGCGAGAAGTCTTCAAATGAGAAAGAAACCTATTTCAACTGCCCAGACAGATTGTTCGTTGCATCGGAAACGTTCATCACTCTTCGACAAACAAATACTGGGAGTAAGAGACAACGCATTCTGTTGATAATTCCCCCAGATTCTACCTTCAC